AGTACAAAACAAGGGCAGAAAGTGGAAAAACATAAGTAAATATTAATGTAAACACACTAATGCAAACATCCTATGAGGTTTATAATAAACACAAAAAATAGGAAAGCAAAAAAGATAGGAAAACTACATGCAAACAGTTTATAGGAGTCCTCAATTGTTTGGGAAGTGAAATAAGTTCAATTTTAAAGAATGCAATAAGTTAAAGATATATGTTGCAATCACTATGGCAACCACTAAAGGAATAAATAAATGTATAACTAAAAAGCTGATAGAGGAGAAAATTTTGAAAAATAAAACATACTTGATTAATCCAAAAGAAAGCATGAAAGGAAGAATAGAAGCAGAAAACATAAACAAGGCAAATTAAAAAATCAAGATGGTAACCTACAATCCAAGTATATTATTATAATTTTTAAAATAAATGGACTAGTATGCAAGCATGTGGAGAAACTGGAACCCTCATTCATTGCTGGTACAAATTTAAATATTGCAGTCACTGTAGAAAAGTTTGGCAGTTTCCCAAAATGTTAAACATAATCATACCATATGATCCAGCAATTCTACTCCTAGGTAGTTACCAAGAGAAATAAAAACACCTATCCACTAATGACGTGCACATGGATACCCATACCAATATTACTCAAAATAGCCAAAAAGTAGAAACAACCAAAATGCTCATCAACCGAAAAATGAATAAAATGTACCAGATCCATATAATAAAATATTACCCAGCCATTAAAAATAAAGAAAGAAGTGCTAATTCATGTTACCACATGAATGCATCATAAAAACATTAGGCTAAATGAAAGAAGTCACACACAAAAGGCCACATATTGTATGATTCCATATATACGGACTGTCCAGTTTAGTCAAATCCATACAGACAGTATGTTGGTGGTTGCCAGGAATTCAAAGTAGGGGGACATGGAGAGTTACTACTAATGAGTAAGAGATTTCTTTCTGGAATATTCAAGGATTAAATAGTGCTGGTAGTTGTATAACTTTGTGACTATACTAGAAACTACTTACTTGTATACTTTAAA